TTTTTTGGTGCATAAAGTAGAAAGCTGTATGGAAGAATTATTTTTGATGACTTGGGACAATAAGAAACTGTTCCTCTAGAGACCCCTAAGCTTTCATTTCAGAGTTTATTTGGTCAGAAACAGATCTCTTAGAACCAAAGTGAACAACTGCATACCATGAAACCTTCTTATTATTCATTCTTTACAAAATTAGTAAGCAAATTTCTGCTGGATTCGGTAGTGCTAATGAAGTATTCCTTTTATTAGTGAAATACCTGAAGTGATACTTAGAATTTAAATATGTATGTCTAGTAATTATTAAGAATATACACAGTGGTGGCACAGATGAAAACACAGCTCAATTTTATGTATATACTTGTAATTCAAAGTGGATTATAGCTGAAAAGAGAATGAGGGAAAATTAAGGTGGCATTCCTATGATTTATTAAGCATTTCAATCATGCTACTTACAGAAAACCTGGATTTTGGTTAAATCACCCAATTCAAAATCAGTCAGCACAATTAGAACTTCAATTTCTTTCCTAAACTTGCACATATTATGTGCCATGGCAACACTTGCAGTAGCAGGTAACACTTGAAGGGATTTTAGTAGTTTGCTTTTGCTTTTCAATTTACAAGTACCCAGTACTTGTTTAGTAGCTTAAATATCAGATACTAAAATACGTATTATCTGCTTTCTCCTGTGTTCAGTAGTCTTGGAGTTGAAAATGAGTAAAAATGGAAACATTTAAGACAAAAAGTAAGAGAAAGGAGGAAGAGGAAGGAAAGAATGGAGAGAGGAGGAACGGGGAATATGACACGGCATTGACTGTGCAGTCAAAGGATAAGCCCTAGAATGCTAACAAGGGTGCAGGAAAAGAGTCCAGCCAAATTTATAATTTAGGAGCTTCCTGATGCTTCATATCTTTTTTTTTCATTTTTCTTTTATTATTCATATGTGCATACAAGGCTTGGTTCATTTCTCCCCCCTGCCCCCACCCCCTCCCTTACCACCCACTCCGCCCCCTCCCGCTCCCCCCCACCCCCTCAATACCCAGCAGAAACTATTTTGCCCTTATTTCTAATTTTGTTGTAGAGACAGTATAAGCAATAATAGGAAGGAACAAGGGGTTTTGCTGGTTGAGATAAGGATAGCTATACAGGGCATTGACTCACATTGATTTCCTGTGCGTGGGTGTTACTTCTAGGTTAATTCTTTTTGATCTAACCTTTTCTCTAGTTCCTGGTCCCCTTCTCCTATTGGCCTCAGTTGCTTTAAGGTATCTGCTTTAGTTTCTCTGCATTAAGGGCAACAAATGCTAGCTAGTTTTTTAGGTGTCTTACCTATCCTCACCCCTCCCTTGTGTGCTCTCGCTTTTATCATGTGCTCATAGTCCAATCCCCTTGTGTTTGCCCTTGATCTAATGTCCACATATGAGGGAGAACATACGATTTTTGGTCTTTTGAGCTTCATATCTTAAGCACAGTATCACGAGCTAGGAGATTCCTACAGACAGGCACTATGAAAAACACCTTTGCCAGAGTCAGAATGTAGTGAACAACTCTGCTCCTGACCTTTAACTCAGCATGGAGTGATAACCATGAGAACTGGGGAAGCATGAAATGTCTTCCCATTTGAATATTTGTAGAAAAGGGTCCAAGGCCAAAAATTATTTCTATCCTTTTGAAAGGGAGAAAGTGGCTTGACCTAACAACATGCAACTTAGAATTCTTTATGAAAGTGTAAATTCTAATATCTTGCTTATTCTACATTTATCATAAGCAAACACTTCTTTTACATTATTTGCATTAAATAATATGTATCTGGCATGTTAGGAAAAAATGCTATATGGTAGAATCTTTCCTTTAAGGATAAAATCTGGACCATGAATTATTTTTAAAAATAGTGTCTGTGGAGAAAAAAAACTACTTTAAGTCTAGTTACCAAAATAAAATAGAATTTCTAAAACATTCAAAGGTAGTTTATATATCCCTAGGCTGATCAAGGTACTTTCCATTGAATTATGGTATACACAGAAAAACTTTAAATCATAGGGATAAAATTTAATAAATTATCACCAAATGTACACACTGTGTAAACCAACATTCAGGTTAAAAACAAAAAAGCACTACCAGCACAATAGATGCTCCCTAATCTTCTATTCCTTTTTTCACCTCTGAAAATAATTCATTTTTGACTTCTAAAACCAAAGATGAGATTTATCTTTTGAATTTTATGTAAATTAAAAAAGTGGTATATACTTTTTGTATTCAGCTTTTTTCTTTCAACCTTATGTTTGGGAGCTTCATCAATGTTGTTGATCATAGGTATCATGTTTTTCTTTTGTGTGTTTATGTGTGTGCATTTTATCCTACAAGTGACTCAGTTTATCCATTCTTTTTTCTGATGGTGCTTGATTATTTTGAGTTTGAAATTCTTTCTAAATTGGTTTCTATGAGTATTGTGTACATGTTTTTGGCACAGTTGTGCATCCTTCCTCTTGGGTATATATTAAGAGAGGACGTTCTAGTTTATAAGGTATGGGCGTGTTCAAATTTAATTTGATAGTGTTGACTCTTCTCTAGGTTGGTTGAACCAACCACTAATAGTTGATGAGAGTTTGTTCTGTAGTCTTATTGTCAATTTGGTGGCTAGTTAATGGTATTCATTGATGTGCTAATTTTATTTCCTTGCTTACTCATGAATTGTATGCATTCTTGCATCTTTTAAAGCTTAATCAAAGACATATTTAATTTGTGCATCAAAATGTCTTATAATTAGCATATTGTAGATAACTTTTCCACGCTTTCTTTTATCACTCTAAGTGAAGTGGAAGTTATTCAGTGCAGCAGTGTGGTTCTGAGATGTTATCAACCTTCAGAATATTAGACCAATTTTTTCTAGTACTGGAGTTTGAACTCAGGACCTTGTAATTGCTAGACAGGCACTCTACCAACTAAAATTAGCCTAAGCTAATTTTTTTCCTAGTCTCTCAGTTCTTCTCAGAGGTTTCATCCTAAAAGGAATGTAGTTCAAATGTTTAGGTTAAAAATCACATTTTTTTGTTTGTGCTATTAATGTTAGTCGAGAAATAAACTTGACTTTCAATTAAGTCAACTACATTTAAAATAGGCTCTTGGCCAATCTGTACTTTTTCCCTAGATCATTGTTTCTTTCCCTACTTCCAAAATTTTGGTTCCTTGGTGAGTGCCATGGGTATCACCAAGGCCCCATTCCATACCTTTGAATTCTAATCTAAGAGTGGGTATCTGGGAAAAGCAATGGAATTTGCATATGATTCTCCTATATGGCTTTGATGAATTATCTACCATGGCAACCATGCAAAGATACTCTAGGAGACTTCTATGTCCTTGCAGGTAGCTGAACCATGATCAATAGATGAAATTTTAGAGTGCTTATAACAGAATACTCTCAGTCAATAAAAAGCCTCTAGCATTCTGCCTAATGGAGGTTGTTTCAGAGATTTCTGCATTGAATGAGAGGCTATATTAGATGACCACAGATGCTGCTCCTAATGCACTCTCCATAGATTTGCATGGAATTTGTGTTGTATATCTATCTATACCTGCCATGCTGGGAAAAGCTACATATCCACCCATATTGTATAGATAGTAACAATGACTTAATTCTTAGATCTCCAAGTTTCCAACCTTTTGAAATTGCTACTTTTTTTACATGTGGTCCAAACTCATATTAATAGGTGTAAACATGGAATCTAAACGAGGATACTTGGCATAATGCAGCAGCCAGAATAAGAATGCTTGAAATAAATGTCCATACATATGAATGCTTGAAATAAATTTCCATACGTGTGAAGCAAGCTTGTCAATAAAGTTAATTTGTGTCTGATTTAATAAAGGACTAGTAAACATGCAAACATGAGAATTATAAGTGATGTTTTAATTTTCCTCACCCAACTTAATTGTCATACAGCAGGGTAAAGTTTCTAAATTGTAATTTTTATCTCAGGTAATATTATTTAACTTTGCTTCACATTTAAATATCTAAAAGGAAATTGCTGCTTCTGTATTTTTCTAAATACAGAATCTGGGATCTATTCATTCAGCTCTTTAAGTTTATTTTTATTATGAATTTAAATATTTTAAATTTAGGAAATTATAATATATTCATCTAAACACACACACACATAGATATGTCTGCTTTTCAAAATCCTGAAGCTGAATGTCTAGCTCTAAATTTAGAATGGTTATTATATTATTGAAAGTCCTTTGGTGTATTATACATGTTCAAGAGGTATAGAATTGCTTGGGGAAAATATTCCATTATTGAAAAAATTGTTTGTGATGATGAACAAAATATATCTTTTAAATCAAGAGGCTGAGATTATAGAGAAATTTCCCATCTGGTTGATGGGTTGGTTAGCTTTTACCTTGGAGAAGAGCAATAGTCTAGATTTCTCTTATCAGTTCCCATCCAGAAGGGTCACTTGCTTTACTCTTGGAGTCCCATGACAGATATACCTCTGTCCAAGCATTTGGAAAGTCTAGGTGCTTGTTCTAGTCCTTAATACAGAGAGCTTGAGGGCTGGTGCAGAGGTAGGAGTCCTTTTCTCAACATACACTACCCTGTGCTAGAGATGAGAAGAGGTCTGAGGAGGGGAAAAGTTAGTTGACATCTAAGGAAATCTGGAAAGTTTCTGCTCACTTCAACCCATAGTTATGTTTTTCATTAGAAGTAAAGCTAAGGAATCTTCTTAACTGAAGCTTTATAAGTCAAAATCAAAAGGGTTTGTCAGTTAACAAGATGTCAATACAATCCTTCTCCATCGAGTGAGATGAAATGAAGCCTAACAGATAAAAAGAGAAATCAATATTATTATTGTAGAAGGCTACTTTGCATATTAGTACAAGATACTTTTGTAAATTAGTTTATTGATTGACCATTTACAATATTAAATCAAATAGTAGAATTTATAATTATAACTAAAGAAAAATATCTCATAACATAACTGCGTGGTTTGGTTGTGTCTTCTTCCTAGATGTTTGTCACCAGTACTGTGTGAATTCTGAATCATGTTCCATTGGGGATGATGGAAGTGTTGAATGTGTCTGTCCAACACGCTACGAAGGACCAAAATGTGAGGTTGACAAATGTATCAGGTGCCATGGAGGGCACTGCATTATAAATAAAGACAATGAAGATATATTTTGCAAGTAAGTAGACATCCAGCTTAATTTATGAACACATTTGCACCCAAAGGGACATAGCAATTCAGCAATAAATTGTGAAAACAATGTCATTGTTTTACTCTAAAATTCTGTATGGGCAACCATTGCATTTTTAGGGCTAGACACGAAATTCAATTCATTTCAGTTAAACTCACACTTATTCCATATCTGTTATGAATATCTGAGAACCATGAAAATCTTTCACTTAATGACAGACTTTTCCATATATAACCTATACCTAAAAATAAGTAATAGTGAAATGCAACATTATTTCAAAAAAACTATATGTAATATTGTTCAATTAAAATATTTCAGGCTTTTATTTGTTTGATCAATATTAGCAGAGTGATAGGGCTAGCATTTCTGTTGTTGTAAATTTATCATTAGGGGAAGAGCAAAATACCTGCTTAATGAAAATAAATATTTACTTGTTTTTTTGTAAACTAACTTTGGATGTCCTGCTCCAAAATAATGAGAAGGAATAATGTGCTCTGGCAAGTAACTAACACAAAAATGTCAAAGTTTGACTTGTTACATTTCCTTTTAACTTTTGGCATTAAGACAGGGTAAATGGGAACCAGAACACAGTGCTACAAAGTACTGCCATTTAATTTCTATCAAGGTAACTTTATGCCACAGATGTTAAAGATCAATCCTCACTCCTAATTACCGTTATCAGCCTTCTTCAAGAATGGCTTATTAAGGACTGGATTTTGTTTCATCTTGCTTGGGAGTATAATAAATGAAAGTATGAGGTGGAAAAACATGCTATAAAGTGTCCATGCCACACTTCCACTGAGTCCTCCCGAGGGGACCAGACAAGTTATGTCACGCTGCCAAACAAGGCACAATAAAATTTTATTACAGACAACATTGACATCTTTTTTTTAATTTACTCTCATTTTAGAATTTACTGTACATATGATTAATGGGATCAGTGTAAATGACAGTTTTTCAAACCATAAAGTTGAGTTACTTGAAGGTACATTATTTTTAAGTAATTGAAAATATGACTAATATATAAATATATGCCTTTATAAAAAGCAAAACACACTTTCATATGTCATGTTTTTGCATTAAGTCAACAGTTCTTTGTGATGAAACTTTAGCATGACAGAGCTTTATTCAGTTTGGGGATGTACATTTTCTTTATTTCTTCATATCCAGGCAGACTTGCCAGAATTGGCTGACTCTGTTCCACTGCAGAGAGAATCATGGTCATGAACTGAAGTTTATTTTGCAGTTGTGCTGAAAAGCTCATGGAAAAGCATATACCTTGCTTACAATTCTATACGAAAGTGTCATTATAAAACAGGAAGGGCAGGTCTTAAGGCCTCCAATACTGCCTGATAAACAGGAGAAATCAGCTTTTCTAAACAGAAACACCAGGGCCTCATACCCTGAGCAGGCTACTGAAGTCAAACTTTATAGTTCTTACCTTTTAAAAGATTTCTTTTGGAAACATGTATGTAAGAATAGGTAAATAGAGTTACTAACAATGAATGTATAGTGGGACATGAAAACCAGGAGGATAACAGTCCTCAATTTATCAGATAAACTTATAACATTTGAGCATGACAACCCAAACAAAGTAGTTTTGGTATTCTGAAATATGTTAGTTATATGATTAGAATTTCTTTTCAATTATCTGAGGCCTTTCATGTTAGAATTAAAACAAAATTTATAGTGATATTGGAATTTCTGTTTCATAGGTAAATAATAGACACTACAATAAAATTTCAACAGAATTTGAGTAAAAATTTTTTACTTAAGCAGGAAATCTAAAAGCATGTACACTTTTGATCACAAATAGGAAGTTATGTTTCTAATGCACAACCTAAAAACTGTCAATAAGAGTAGGTACTCTATTACTTTAATAAGTATTGTGTTTAAGGCACAGCTAAATGCATATTTTCCTTTCTTTTGGAAATTGATGTGAATATTGTTGAAGAAAGACTTGATCATAATCTTGAATAACCTAAGTAATACTCTTTTGTACTCAATTTTCATGAGAATTACTTGTGTGCATTGGACGATTGATAAATAGGTTTCTGATATATCACAAACAGTATATTTGTGAACCATTCATGGTTCTAAAAAGGTAATAAAAAGTATTTATTAGAAATACTTCCATTAAAATATTAGGAGTACTCTTTGAGGCATATAATGATTTGACTGATTTAAATTTTACATTTAAAATATCTACAAACTTGTCTCTTCAATGTTGGGTTCAAACAAAACCCAGAACTTCAAAATCTTTCATAGCTGTAGAAACAAGTTTTTAAAAAATCAGATATAGCTGTTATTTCTATTTTAGAAAAGAACTATGGTATATAGTTATCATTTTGCTGAAAATCCTTTAGTGTGTCATGAGCTAATCTTCCCATTTCATGTTGTCCCTTTGATAGAACAAGAAATTATATCTTTCTTATTTTCAAGGAAGCTGGACAGGAAGGATGAGAAAATGTCCCTCAGATCTATGTAACATATTAGATGGCGAAAGCATTGATCATAACTTGACTCTCTTTGCTCCCATATTACATTGCCTATGCAGACTATGAAGAATGTGATATTCCCGGTTAAATCTTAGAAATGTTAGATCGTATCCCCTTCCACATGTCTGGTTCTATTTTCACACATCACAGTTTCACATCTCACACATAATTAATTCACCTCTCCCATTCATCTTGTAAAGAAATATGATATTTAAACCTAGGGTTTTTTAAATATCTTCAAATTAAATACCTGTAAAAGTTATGAGTAGCTCAGCTCATTCCCAGCTGCCAAAAACACATATAAGATCAAATAGATAAGCACAAAATTATGAACAACAGGATTGCTAAGCAATTATATTCAAGCATTTTACTTACCTATCATTGGGAATAACATCATAATGGATGTACTGCTATGGACATCAATCATGGGAAAGACTGAACTGGTCAATCAATCATATTTCAGGCTGATTCCTTTGTCACGGTAATGTCCAGATTTATTATGATGCTATTGATAGTTTCATAGAACCTAATACAAATGAAATTGTGTGATGACAATTACCAGTACCATCTGTGGTAGTTTTGGTATTGGCTTAGGTGTTTATAACTCTAGTATCACACTTTCCAGGTTAACAGAGCAGTTTTCTTGGTGATTTGAAATGTTAAATGCACATTTCTCTGTTCCCCTGACAGTTTTCACTGCCCAGTGTATTTTGTTGTTTGTTTGTTCAAAAATATACAAAAAGAAAGTTAACTATTTTTAACTATTATTGGTAGACCTGATATTCCAGTGGAACAATACAATTTATTCTCATTCCAAACATGTAATATGATTGTAAATTAGAATGCTTTTGGTAAATTTTTCATTAGTTTGATCCCATGTTGCTCATATTATAAAATTATTGTTTATTTTCTATGACTCTCTCCATTTTTTTTGGGTTAAATGAAAGTGTTTAACATTGACATTAATTATACTACATATTCAAAGAGAAGCAGCCAGATAAAATAACCAAAGGGTGACCTCATACTTTCTTACAAATGTGGAATCTAAAATTCCTACACTTTAAAAGGAAAAGTTGAAGTTGTTTTCTCCGGAATATTAGATCATGTGGCTTGTAATTCACACATATGTCACCAAATCCTAGTTATTTGAAAAAGGAACAAGACACTGAGGCTAATATCTTCCCGAAGTGTGACAGATATTATAGAATTTTTTTTGCACATATATATGGCTAGCTAAAATTTTTATATTAAGGGAATGGGTTGGAAATTTGAAAATTACCAAAGTAAGAATTTTATTTCTCATCATTCTGACAAAAAAAAAGGAAGTCTTCAGCAATTCTGTCTTCCTGAAAACTTACTTTTAGCCAGAGACTCCATTATTCCCAGATGATGCATATTCTCCTCTGCAGAGCTTTTGTGTCAGCTTTCAACAGTAATGATGGTGGTGACAATGGGTTGTATTTTCTTTGTTGCTGCAGCTGCACTAATGGAAAGATAGCTTCTAGCTGTCAGTTATGTGATGGCTACTGTTACAATGGGGGCACATGCCAGCTGGACCCTGAGACAAATGTACCTGTGTGTCTGTGAGTATTCTGTAAAGGTGTGGGCAGGCTTTGTATAAACATCGAATCCCTATCCATTGCTCTCCTTTCTTGGGGACATACGTGCTAAATGAGTGTTTCATGGACATCTCTGATCAAGTACTATCCCTCATTGGCTCGTGCTATTGTATCTCCTTCTCCATCAATATGCTAATGATGTCATGAGGAAGCACTCATTCAGTTCTTAGCATCATACCATTTCAGACATTCACAAATCTTTGAACTTGGAAATGCTGGGGAAAATGTTCTAATTTTATTGACCTTATTCAGTGATGTGAAGTCTAGAGTTAACCATCTTTTATGAATCCTTGGTACTTGTGGCCATCATTTTTCCAAAGAGCTTGAGGTATCTTTCCCAATGTATAATGCTATTTTATGTTTATTTCAGGCTAACCATATTATATTATGTACACCAATTAAGCCTCTGGCTCCTGTAGAATGCATTGGATTGAGTCTGGGTTTGTAAACACCTAGGGGAAGCATTGGATATTCTGAATGTTCCAGAGAACAACTGGAATTTAATTTTTCCCCCTCTCAATTATCTGATTGTCCATAGTGGTCAACTTGAAAGAAAACCATTTGGATTATGTAGTCACTGTATTACGTTTTGTTTTAACACTGTGTAATCAGAGAGGTGATACCTGCTATGATCCATGTCTGCGTCCTGCTCCCCACCTTGTCAGAATAGCATGTGATGAGTGTGAATGAGAGAGAAAGGAGCATATCTGGAAACATTTTATTCATATGTTATTATCTCTGTATAAAATAAATTTGAAGCATATTTGCCAAAAAGAAAAAAAGTTAGATGCTTTATTTAGCTGTATTTTACTGAAATTCTGCAGATGCTCTATGGGGTTTAAAAGTCAGCGCTGTGACCAGAAAGAGAACCCTTGTGATCACTACTGTCAGAATGAGGGGATTTGCTCTTTAACTGCGTTTAATGAGCCGAGATGCAAGTAGGTTTAACCTTCCACTTACTGCTGCGCTTCATGTGACATCATTTCAGGCCACAGTTCATTGGTTTAAATCATGAACATCCACATGCATTTCACAGTCTATACTTAATCTCGGGGCTCATCTGTGTCATACACACTTAACCTTTGCTTCGCTCACCAATAAGTGTGTGCACCACAGACTGCTGGAGTGTCTGGAAATACAACAGAGGGAATGAAAAAAGCTAGTGGAACTGTCTAATAAAAATACATTTGCTAGAATAGAAGCTTTTAATAACAGAACTATAGAAACAGGTATTTTAAGACTCTACTGCTCAATACTATATTTGGATGATGACTTTTAATTAGTAACTGATTTTTCCATTTCAACATGATGCAATAATACACTACTTTGTTCACTAAAATTTTACCGAAAATGGTTCTAACCTAATCAAAAAGATATTCTAACAGAGGAAATAGGTTCATGCTAAAACATTTCTAGAAATTTAATTTCTTCTCAGTTGAAATCATTCTTTCTTAATTCAATTGGTGGTGCTTTTAATATCCATGAAAACTAAAATCCTTTTTCCTCATACATTGTGATCACATCGTAAATTATTTTTGCAACATACATTTGAGCTTTGGAGATAGGTCCTGTCTGGCATCTTCCTTAACATCTGTCATAACAGCAACTCTGATTGACACCTGATTGCAACCTCACTAGAGGTACAGTTGGCCTACTAGTAAATATTTAAAGCGCAATTGGATTAAAATTCAAGCATTTCATTACCCAATCTGTATTATTGTTTATAATGAGCTCCAGAGATGTGAAGTAGCAGCTTGCACCAAAGCTGTTTTGATTTGGTTTTGAAGGTGGTACCTATTAGCAGGTAGTGGAAAGCCCGAGGATAGGGTTTGAACTGGGTAGTGTGACTGAAGGGAAATGTAGAGAGAAGAGTGATCCATTGCTATTTCACAGTTAAGAAATCCATGACAATCCTTGGCCAAAAGTTTATTTGTGTAATACCTGTAATACCTGCTCTGGACTCCACTTTTTATTTACATTGTTGCTGTTTCACTGTTCTAAGCAAAATACACATCCATGGCAGGCCCACTTTTCCACTTCCCCACAGATGGGTCTCAGGATTACTTCCTGTCAAGAGAATGCTTTGTGTTACCCGAATAAGAATCTCTCATAGGAATAGCAGCCCACAATAATACTCTCTGCTACTTTCTAATCTAGCCAAATATCATGAGTAAAATGAAAGTCAACCTACTTGATAAACATAGTCAGGAAAAATATGTTAAGTAGCAATTTAGAGAATACCTCTTTGTTTTATGTACCAGTGTCTCTATCTCTATTTGCATTTTCCTTATGGAAAACCACGGTTGACTGTACCTTGGTTTACCATGCTCCTTAATTTGTTCTGATAAAAGATGCAATCCTTATATTCTTCAAACATTTACTTAAGTCATAAAAGAATATAAAAGAAACTATGTTCTCTTATCATTCATTCATTAATTCATTAACTAACTCATAGAGTAAGTTATTGCATCAAGTTAGAAGAATTAATAACTGCTAAAATATGGACTGAGCAGATACCTGTGGCAAGTACTATGTTGAGTACATCACATATTTTATGTGTAGTGTTAGATTATTATTGTTGTTGTTATCTGTACTTCAGAATTACCTCGTGTAATCACATGCTAGGAATTGGTAGATATCTGACAATCATCACACTCATTTGATTCTAAAGTACATGCCCAGGTTATACAACTCTAAGCTTCATTACTCTCTTTATACTATGATAAATCTAATTCATAATGCTGTTGAAGAATTTCAAATTCATTTTGGGAGGACAAATGACTTTTAAAAAATTGAAATAGTATTTGATAAGCAATGCTATAGAAATATAATCAAAATATGTGGGAAAACAACTGACTAGAGGTCAATTAATGATTCCAAGTGGTGAAGTGAAATTTTAATAGTATTTTGAAAAGAAATTATAGTAGTTTTATACTGGGAAGTTGACTAAAATTTTTTTCAAGGCAAGAATAGCACAAAGGGGACTAAGTCTGAAAGCCAAAGGTAAAAACTGTTAAGGACAGAAAACAGACCATGTGGTATATTGGGAGCCAATTTATGAGGTGGATTTTATGCCGTGTCATGAGAGTGGGTTTACAAAAAGGACAGAGGGCTAAGGTTGAAATCCTAGGAAATACCAAAGTTCTGATACTGTGTGAAGAAGGAATCAACAAAAGTAAATGAGAAGAAATAGAAATTGGAAATTTATCACAGTAGATTTCTCCAGAGTGAAGGATAGAGAATGCCAAAGATATCAGCTCCTAAAAGTTCAAATAGGATAAGAATTTTATATGACTTACTGGATTTTACAATTAGATGGCTATTATGAGAGATGTTTTGAAATCTCTGTATAAACAGAAACCACAAGGTAAAAAAATAGAGACCAATGTAGTTTCCTTTCTCAATGTTTGAGTATAAATTAATCAAGGAGAAACAATAGGTAAAAACAAGGGGAAGACATTTTTATTTGTCATAGAAGACAAATAAATATTTGTTTGTATTCTTGTGGTGCTGCAAATGGAACCAAGGGTCTTGTGCATACCACACCAGTGTCTAACACTGAGCTTCATCTCCAGTCCTAGAAACAGATATTTATAATAAGAAAGACATACATTCGAGACTACTATTCTTTCATTCTTTATTAAAGGTTCATTTTTAGGTGTTATGATAGATCAGACACAGATTTCACCCTTGTGTCTCCCAGATTTGTCTAGGAGATATGTCTCATGTCTCTAGAAACATATGAGAAAAATCCAAGTTATTATTCAGTTATTTATAATTAATTCAGTACTAACATGTACATAAATGTTAATAAAATTTAATATGATGTGTTTATTATCACATACAATACAAAGTGGTCAGGATGCTGAAGCCCTCAGTATATCTTTCTGATGATTGATTCTCCTCACAAGGAGATATTTTGGGAAACACAGCTTTTAGCCTTGACTCAATTGGCAGTGGTCATGTATCTTTAATAAGAAGTTAGTATATACTATTTCATCTAAAAACCTTTACAGGAAACAAAAATTGATTTAAGTATAAAATATGGTTCTTGCTTTAGTAGTGCATTGGTAGTACATTTTTCTTCATAAAGTGAAAAACAATTTGAGTTGAACAAAACTTACACATATTTGGAAAGTCTGTGAAGTATTCAGATCTATGAGGATGACAGTTTTTTCCACATAGAAATTTTATTGCTTATCTCTCAATGTAAGGAACAGATTTGTTGTTTGAAAGCTTTCACTTATGTTTCTTGATGGCCATTTTCAAATATTAGTATGTATGGAACAATAAAGAAAACTTCAAAGAGAAGCTAAGAAGATAGAATCAAGTCTAGTATTTTAAAAACATTATTTGGAAGGACTATTGATATTTATTAAAGTAGGTATATTGGATTTTAAAACTGTATTTAAAAATTCTAATTGTATTATTTTGACAATATTGTTGAATATTTTTACTGTAAATTAAAAAGTTATTAATCAAATGAAGGATTACTGAACTCAGCAGCAAGTTGGCCATGACTTCCTAATTCTAAAATTTCTCCTTAGGGTTGCTCTTTCATTTATTTTGGATTTAAGTTGTTTTATAACTACCTCCTTGACAGTACTTCCTAGGAATATCCACAGTGCATTCAGCCTCAAATAATAAAGAAATGTTTATAATTATTCTACCTCCTTTACCCATGCTATCATCCAACATGAACACAGATGTACACACACAGTTTCCTGCATTTCACACCTAGGTGTCTTTCCTCAAATAGTTCACTGAACCCAACACCTCTCTTACCTTTTTTTTTCTAGTTACTCTTCTTATTTCAGCAGTCTCAACTGAGGTATCAACATTTTATGTGTGTAAGCACATGGCAACTTAATAAATTTTGGTTGAACTATGCTAAATTGATTGTACAGGAAAACAATCAAATTTCAGTGAGAAAAGGTATGCATAAAATTTTGTTACAGTATAGG